TCGTTTCTCCGCGCAGCGGCCTTGTTCGTCAAGGTTCGTGTTTCGGAGTTATAGAGTTGAGAGAGGGTTATATCCACAAAATAAGTAGCCTCCTTGTCTGTAGTGGCCTACTCAGCCTTGAGGAGGTGAATTAAAATAAATAAAAAAAAAAAAAAAAAATCATCTCTCTAGCACAGGGCTTCTCTAACTTTTATTACTCATAAACCCATTTAAGATTGTGAGTTTCCCGGCAGCCCATATATATAATAGAAATATAAATATAAAAGAAAGATAAGTAAAAAATTTTTATGATAAATTTAGTAACATACATATTGCATATATGTGTATATATTTCATATGCATATGAAGTATATAGTTTTAGAATTTGTTTAGAAACATACAAAAACTAAAATTAAAAATAGTACAAAAAGTTGTAAAATTGCATTTTTTACAATAACGCAAATAAAAGGGAATTCTGACTGTCTCAGTTTGCTCAAATATTTGTCTCAGTTTGCTCGAATAAAAATGTTGAGTGTGTGTTGAGTGGTTGTTGAGTGGTAAGTATTAAATAAAAATTTAAAGAAAAATTTAATGAGCTGGATGTGCTTGTTTTTTATTGCATAAGAAATCTTGGTAGAATTTTTGACACTGCTAGATGTATGACCTCTTCTAGATTTTTTAATCCAAACTATCTTTTTGAAATCAGTATTATCAATATTATATGAAATCAGTTAACATAAAATATGTAGGGGATTTTATTTCTAGCACTTTTAAGTGATCAACTATAATTCTTGCGATAAAAGTTTTACAATGATTTTTCTTGATTATAAAATTGTTGACATTGGAAAACATTTAGAACAAATTCTTTTCTACCCTAGTTTTATAAATTTTGATCTTTTTAATAGTTTCAATTTTATCATTTGAAGTCAATATATTGGTATTTTTACCTTGAAGAGACAAGTTGGTATCGTTTAATTTCTCAAATATATATGACAAATAACACATCTTGGATAGCCATAAGTCATTTTGAAAAGAAACAGCAAGTTCACATTTTTTTTCGGTTAAAAATATTTCGATTTTGTCCTTTAATTACAATAATCTTCTTAAAATTGGACCTCTTGACAAACATCTTACTTCTGCATGTAATAATAAAGTTGTGTACTTGGAATCCGTATGTTTAGAGAGTTTTGAAAATAAGCGGTTGTTAAGGGCATGGCTCTTAATATAATTTATAATCTTAACAGCATACTAAAGCACATCGTTCAATTATGATGCTAATTTTTTGGCTGCTTCTTGGTGAATAAAAGTTATATGATCATAATGAGCAACTTGAAAATATGATTTAAAACCAATATTTTTGCCCGTCCGCTCTTGCACTATCTGTGCATATTGCACAGCAATTTTTCTATTCTAAACCCTCAGTTTTAAAAAAGTTTGTTGACATAAAAAACATGCTTTGATTCAAAATGCCTTTTTAATTTTGATGGTTTCATATTCTCTGCACCCAATAATTTATATACATCTAATTACTCTTATATTTTACCCAGTTTACCCAATAATTACTCTTACAATTTATAATGTAAAACTCAATTGAAGAAAAGACTCATCATATTTTTTTTTCTTGCACATTAAATGCCTGTTTTGCCTGTTGCCTGTTGAAAAACAGGCATTTAATGTGCAAGAAAAAAAAAATGTAGGGTTTTTTGCGTTATTACCTGCGTCATTACAATTTTTTTTTTTAAGTTCAGCCATTTATCCATGGCCAAAAATTATTTTTATCCTAAAATCCAAAAAAATATATAAAAATAACAATAAATATATATATAGATATGGTTTTACCCATAGTTTAAAAAAGCCTGCTCTAGTGGGAAATGATTTTTTTAGTCTGCTTAGTACTTGGTTTGATCTAGCCGTTGCAGCTTCTACTTGATGTTTAACCTTTAGGTCAATTGATGTAAGAAAACCTAAGTCACGTTTAATAATTGTTGTTCCAAGTTATATTCATTTGTTGTCTATGTCAAGCATTGAGTAAAAATGCACTTATTTGAGTGACTAACATGCATGACTTTACATTTGTTGAGGTTGAAAAACATAATCCACTTCTTAGACCATTCAACTCCTATGTCTAGTTGTAGTTTTTTTATATTATCTTCTGTTTTGATGACAACTAAGATCTTACTGTCTTATCGGTGTAGATCTTTATATGATGTGTCATATTGTCTGGAAGGTTGTTTATACAAGTCAGAAACAGAAGTGGACCTAACTCTAATCCTTGTGAAACTTGGCTAGTAACATTAATCCATTCAGACTTGCTAATGCTAATAACTACTCTATGTTTTTGTTTTTTTAACCAGTCAGTTATCCACTCCATGAGGGCATCATGTATGCCATATGCTTCAAGCTTCAGAAAAAGAGGTTGGTGAGGTACTTTGTTAAAAGCAAAGTCTTTGTAAATTGCATGTGTAAATCACTGTGTAATTTGTCTATGGCATAATTATGAAATTGTGATTCAGTTAAAATGTCATGTGTCTCTAAATTAGTTAGTAGATTATTTAAAGAAATCCATGTTAAAAATTTAGTAAAGAGCCTATTTTCAAGGCAATGTTTCATAATTCTCTTGTTTATAAAACTTTTCATTTTCTTATAGGGTATTGATGTGAGAGAAACTGGCCTCTAGTTTGATTATTTCTTTCAGTTTCCATTTTTAAATATAGGAGTCACGTTTGATAACCTCCATATACTAGGGACTCTGTTTTCAGCCAGTGATTTTTTGAAAATCATAGCTAGTGGTCTGGTTATCACAGTGGCATAGTGTCAAAGAACATGTGGATGTATATTATAAAAGCCTTTTGACTTTGTCTCAATGAGCTCTTCTAGCTTTTGCTGAACAGATTTAGTAGTTATTTCTGCTTCATTCTGGACGCGTTCCATTTCTGTTAGGTTCTCAAAGGTTGGCATCTGATGTAACGATTTAAAAACAAATACAGACCCGAACTATACATTTAGCAAATAAGAAATTTAATAACTATCTGTTGTAAGGTTTCCATTGTTGTCTTCCAGTGACTTCACCATCTGATTCGTAATTTGCTTCGGTTTGACTTGGTTATGAAGACATTTTAAATTGATTTTGAAATAATTTGCAATTCCATTTTTGCAATTTAAAAACTGCTGATCTTACAACCTTAACTAGCTCTTTGCAGGCTGCCTTATGCTCTTCTCGAATCTCTATGTGAGTCCATTTACCAGCTGTAAGAAATTTTGTCTAAAGGTTTCATTTTTATTATTAGTGCTTTTTCAACTTCTGGCATATCCCACATTTTTGTTGTTTGAACAGTGTTTCAGTAAAGGTATGTGTAGGGTGACCACCTCTTTGATTTTGTAAACAAACTTACCTAATAATATATACATTAGCAACAATACTTTTTTATATACAAAATTTTTTATATATAAAAAAATATTTTTTCTGAAAAAAAAATATTTTTTGGTTCATATTTTCTGGTTCGCATTTTATCTAAGATTTACGTTATTCTAAACTTAATTATTCGTTATTGTAAATTTCATTATTTTCAAATAATTTTTAAAATGCTTCTTTTTTTACTTTTCCAAACTGTTTGAAATTGTGTTTTGCAAGTTATTTGCAAAATTATTTTGTAAGCTATTTACTAAATTATTTTGTAAGTTATTTACAAATTTGTTTGCAAGTTATTCACGAAATTGTTTTGCAAGTTATTCACGAAATTGTTTTGCAAGTTATTCACGAAATTGTTTTGCAAGTTATTCACGAAATTGTTATGCAAGTTTTTCACGAAATTAAAACCAGGAGGCTGCATAAGCGCGAATTGGCATATGTGCGCACTGGCATAAGTGCGAAGCGTTGCAAAAACTGGCATAAGTGCGAACTGACATATGTGCGAATGGGCATATGTGCGCCAAAAGATTTCGCAAACATCGGCATGAGTGCGAGTTGGCATAAGTGCAAACTAGCATATGTGCGAATTGGCATAAGTGCGCCGAACAAATTTGCAAACATTGACATAAGTGCAAACTGGCATAAGTGCAAACTGGCATAAGTGCGAAGCAGTGGCATAAGTGCGAACTGGCATTACTGCGAATTGGCATAAGTGTGCCAAATAAATTTGCAAATATTGGGATAAGTGCGAATTGGCATAAGTGCGATCTAGCATAAGTGCGAAGCAGTTACAAAAACTGGCTCAAGTGCGAATTGGCATAAGTGCGCCGAATAAAATTTTGAATATTGGCAAAGTGCAAATTAGTATTTTGCACTTATGTTAATTCGCACTTATGCCAATGTTTGCAAATTTATTTGGCGCACTTATGCCAGTTCGAACTTGTGTTAGTTTTTGTAACTGCTTTGCACTTCTGCCAATGTTTGCAAATTTGTTTGGTGCACTTATGCCAATTCGCACTTATGCCAGTTCGCACTTGTGCCAGTTTTTGTAACTGTTTCGCATTTATGCCAATTCGCACTTATGCCAATTTGCACTTACGCCATTCGCACTTATGCCATTCGCACTTATGAAATTCGCGCTTATTCAGTCGTCTCATTAAAACTTGAAAATGAAAGCAACACTTGAAAAAAATCTGTAGTTTGACATATACACCACTAAAATACCCATACTTCGAGAGACTTTTTTTCTTAAAAGTTGTTTAATTCAGTAATTTTTTTATTTATTTTGTTGACAAGATAATAATACGAATAAAATTAAAGACTTAAAATAAAAGTATTTGATGTTGAATCAAGGAGTTTCTTGAAGCTGTTTTGGTAGTGTTTTAGTAAAGGTCATACTGCAAATGTTTTTCAAGTGTTGTAAGAGTTTTGCAAGTGTAAAATTAGTCAATAATAGTCAATAATAATCAATGATATGACCTTAAATTATAAGATTACTTAGCAGTAAAATTGAAAATTTTAACTGAGAAAGAATCGTTTTTTTATATACTAAAAAATTAAATAAAGTTCAATATTTTATAATTAAAATGTAAAGGCAATTTTATTTTTAAAGGTGATGGAGTCTCGGATAATCGTTTTCAATTGCAGTATAGTGAAGACTCAGATGAGGAAAATCAAGAAGTGCCGATTGAAAGAATTGTAAGGTTTAATTACTCTTTTACTTAATTATTTATTAATTTTTTATTTTTTTATTGCTTTTCTCGTTTAGGTAACTATAAGTTGGCCAGGACTTTCAGAACCAAGATTGATCTCGGAACCTTTCGAATTTTAAATTGGTCCATTTTTAAAAAAAGCTTTTTATAGTAAAATTAACATAACGAACATTATAAAACAAAAACAAATTGAACTAGTATTTTAAAAATGTAAACAAACTTAAACAAAAAAACATAAATAAAGTAATTGTTTATTGTTTTTGTTATTGAAATTTTGCAAATAGATGGATATACCGCAATCGTCTAACCTAAAGTTAACTTGAAAATAAAAACAGTAACAATAATTTATTAATACAGCAGCCGTGGTGCTGTGGTTAAACCGCTTTCTATAGAAGCATAAGATCCAGGATTCAACGCCAGCTCTGGGAATTTTTTGCGTCATTGGTAAGAAAAGAGGTTTGAACTTTCTACTTTAATGTTCTCTATAATAAGGTCTTCTTTGGGCAACAAAAACGAAAATACAAATATAATTGTGCCTCTAAAGATTATGTAGTCAAGCGAGTGTTTTTCAGGCAGTGGAATCAAATTTTAATAACACTTGTTGGGTTACCAGTCTAATAATTTTCTTAGCCAAATTTATAATTTAATGCAATTTAGAAATTGGGACAAAAAAAACCTTTTGAATATACCCTTTAAAAATGCCCTCTGTTATCCCTCCCCCGCCCTAGTTGAGTATTTTGTATATTTTTTAAATGGCCAACTTTAAATAGGAACATAATTTATAACCAAATTTCGTTAAAATATATTTTGGTGCTAAGAAGATTAGACAAAATAATAGCCTTTTTTGAACGTTTTACAGTTTTAGAAATAAGATTAAAAAATAATAATTTTTTATTTTGAACATGTTTTGCCGTTGAAAAATTTTTACAACCTAATGGTCAGAGCAAGAAGAAGACATTTTAGTCTTATCGCCCAGTATCACGTTATATTATATATTTTTTATAAAATTTTTTCCAATAGTATATGTTTACAAAAATGTTACCATTAAAATAATATTGTCTTAATTAATAGGTAGTAATAGGTAATTTCATAAATAAATTAAATACACAAAGAAAACAACAACAACGACAAAAAATATATTCAAACAATCTAAAACATTTCCAATACAATTAATACCATAATTGAAACTTATGATGGCAGAACACACACCAATTGTAAGTATTTTTCTGCTTCAGTAAGTAGATTTAGGACAGCAAGTCCAAATAATTACTTTTAAACCAGAAGTACTTAGTCATTGGCCTGGGTCTTAACCTTGCCTTGCAAAAATTAACACTTTAGACTTAAAACTTTTGGTCTTAGCCTTCAAAAAAAAGTACATAAAATTAAAGAATTAAAAGTTTTCATTCTTTATTTTTATGTATTTTTGTTTTCAGCTTTCATATATATCTACAAGTATATATTTTTTTTGATTTTCTCGAACTCTGCGAATAACCTTGATCTAATTTCACAATGTGTGGTTTTATTGTCACAGCACTTGCTACCTTCCGTTTTTTAATAAATCAGCCTTAAAGTAAGGCAAATTATTGATAAAAATGTTTGGGTAGACCTTGGTCCACCCAAAAACCTTGAAACCCTTATTCTTGGCCTTGGCCTTGTAACTTTTGGCCTTGGTCTTGGCCTTGTAACATGTGGCATTGGCCTTACTTTTAACCTTGTTAAAAACTCTGTTTAAAACGCTCATTCACATTTTGAGATAAAAAGAACTTCAAAAGCTCTAAAAAAAAGTCAGCCCCTGATTCTTCGACTTAAAAACTCATCGAAACTTTCTTCTATTTCCGGATAGATTAGTTATTGATGAAAATATGTTTGATATTTTTTTATATTTTCTTGAATAAAATTTTTGTAATAAATCTAATGATGTTATAAAGACTTGTTTTTACTATCTTATATATAGTTGTTTTTACTTGTTATATATACTCTTAACTTGTTTTACTATCATAAAAAAAACAAAGCGAATGAATTTATTCTTTTAAGTTTATGTATAAATTTGTTATTGTTGTTGTTATAATTTTTTATTTCACGCGTATACGCTATATCTACTGTAACTACGCATATACGCTTATATCTACTGTAACTAGGTGATCATTTTTGACAGCGTGTTTGTATATATGTATACATTTAATAATTTTTCCCGCTAATTTTTCATCTTTTAAGAGCCTTTTGTTTGCAATTATAAACATTGTTTTATTTTTTTTTAATTTTATTTAGTTTGCATTGCATTTCTGACTTTCGATTTCAAATAAACGGTACACAGCAGTCCATAAAAACAACAACTTCACATAGTTTTATTAAAAACTTTGCTTTTATTTTTACTTTGAAAACCAGTTACAGTTTGACTTCCTGAGGTCGCCGATTGACACAATCCCAAGTTAAAAACATTATTGATGAGCTCAAAAATAGTAAGTATAATGATTCTAATGTTAAATAACTGATTTCAACAAATAACAAAAATATATATACATGAATATATATATTTTTGTTCTATTTTTTTAACTTTAGAAAGTTAATTTAAGCTTTTTTTTTTTGACATCTTCGCTTCCAACAAGGCTGCAAGCAACCACTAATTAGTGTTGGAAGTTACTGGAAGAGAAAAGATGAAGATTGTAGCAAGATAACGATTGACAGACGACTTAAAAGATTGCAAATTATATGAATCAAGAAAGCAAGATGAAGGAAGCGAATTCCAAAGAACTGATGTTCTTGGAAAAAAACTAGACGAATAAGAGTTTTTGGAGCACTTAGGAACAGTAACAGAAAAAGGATGAGACTTAATTGAATGACGAGTAACACGAGAATGAATATTAGTAGATGGCACAAGAGACGCTAGCTCTTTAGAGCAGTGCCCATTATAGTATTTGTAGAAAATTTATTTTTTATTTATTAATTATTATTATTTTTTATTTGTGATTAAAAAAAAAAGAATACAATGCCGTGTTATATAAATAAAATCTACATGACCGGGGCTAAAAGAAGACAATATTTGCCTTATCACTACACCCCGACGTGCTTTCATCAGCAAGCGTGTATAACCATTAAAATGTAAACATAAAACATAAAATTACTTTGTACCATTTAAAAATTATATACAAATATATACAAATATGTTAAGATCAGTTACTAATCTATAATTAAAAGAAAATTGTAAAAACAAAAACAAAAAAACAAAAAAAATGCAATCACACTTAAAAACTGAAGATACGCTAATAGGATAATTTAAAAAAATTTAAATTGGTTAGACTAGTTAATAAGATAGTTGTTAAAAAAGAAGATAAAAGAATCTTAAAAAGAATTTAATTCATTAACATCGTTAAGAAGTTTTTTGTTTAAGTTTTTGTTTAAATAGAGAAAGTGAAGAACAATTTTTCAGCTGGTTATTTAATAAAGTGTTTCATAATTTAGGACCTCTGTTGGCAATAGAAAATTTAGTAGCCAAATAGTGTATTTTAGGTTGCTCGTAATTGTAATTTGAAAATCTTGTAGGGTACACGTGATTAATTTTATTGAAAAATGTATTAAAAATTATAGGAGTTAATTTTCTATGTAGTTTGTACATAAAAATAAGAATTTGATAAAGGTTTAACTGAAGAACATTGAGTATGTGATGATTTTTGAATAGTTCTTTAGAATGTGCGAATCGACCTGCATTTGAAATAATCCTGACAGCGTGTTTTTGTCTAATAAGCAATTTTTTAACTTTACTTACATTAGAGCTGCACCATGCAATATTTGCATAGTTTATATAACAATGTATGAGGGAGAAATATAAGATTTTTGAGCAGTTTTGGTTTAAGATTTGCTTAGCTTTGTATAGTATGCCAATATTTTTCGAAGTTTTATTTTCAATTGTTCTTATGTGTTCTCTCCATGTCATGTTTTCGTCAAGTATCACTCCTAAAAACTTTAATGATGACTCTCTAACTATTTTAGAGTTGCCAATGTAAAGATCAGGAAGTTTTAATGGAATATTTTCTTTATCGTAAAGTCTATGAAAAAAAGTATACTTAGTTTTATTTAAATTTAAGGACAATTTGTTTGCCTTAAACCATTCCGCTAGATTTAAAAATTCCTTGTTTACTATTTTAAGTAAGAGGTTGATATCTCCATTAGAATAAAATAAATTTGTATCATCTGCAAATAAAACTGAGTTTAAAATGTTTGAAAACTTATGGAAATCGTTTACATAAATAAGAAATAAAAGTGGACCCAGAATTGAGCCTTGGGGAACACCGCAAGTAATAGTCAAGTATTCAGTTTTAATTTCTTCGTGTGCTATGTACTGTTTTCTATTGTTTAGATAACTTTTAGGCCATTCTAAATATGTACTTTTAATACCATAACTTTTGAGTTTTTTAATAAGAATGTTATGGTCTACTGTATCAAAGGCTTTGCTAAGATCTATAAAAACTCCTAGGGTAAACTTAATTTCATCAAATGCTTTAAATATATTGTGAACAATATTAATAATGGGATGGTCAGTTGAATACCCTGGTTGAAAACCAAATTGTTTGTTACATAAAATATTATTTATATTTAGAAAAGTCAAAATTCGTTTATACATAATTCGCTCTAAGATTTTGGAGAAGCAAGGAAGAATTGATATTGGTCTGTAATTTTTAGGATTAAATATGTCTCCTGACTTGAAAATAGGTATGACCCTTGCAATTTTTAGTTTTTCCGGATAAACTCCTAGTTTTAAAGAGAGATTAAAAATATGTAAAAAAGGGATTGTTAAGTACTTTATTGATTTTTTAATTACATTACTACTAATATTATCAAACCCCACACTTTTGTTTAGTTTTAATTTAAGAGTTCCTTTTCAGTAATTTCATAATTATCCATCTTAGAGGTCTTATTAGGAGTAAGATAGTACTCAAAGTTTACTTCAGTAGTTTCTATTTTCGACGCTAAAAGAAAAGAGAAAGAGAAGCAACATTACGACGATGTGACAGAGGTTGAAGGTTGGCTGCAAGAGCAGGTCCAACTATGTTTACAATGCGTTTTTGCACCTTGTCTAAAAGACAAGGTGCAAAAACCGTAGAACGAGAAGATCCAAATCCATATTGATGATCAGAAAGTAGGTTATGAGATTCAAGATGAGAGATTAAGTGTTTGTTAATTAAAGATTCAAAAGCCTTGCTTATAATAGGAAGAAGACTAATGGGACGGTAATTAGATGAATCGGATCGC